GCTTGTTTGGCGTCCACGCTCTGCCGTTGGGCACGAGACATGCGGCCACGCGCTTCCATCTCATTTGCCACGCGATTCATGTGCAGCATGCCCTGTATCGCGTTACCAGTGAAAAGTTCATAACTCATCGTCCCCAGGTTCTTAACTGCGCCTGCGCCAGTAAACGTATCGATAGCGCTCTTCGCAACTGCTCCGCCCAAGCTCAACATACCTGATCATTTTTACTTTTTGGTCGCGATAAAAATCATGATCATACACAAAGATACTACGCTCAATCAGGCGTTTTGCACAAATCTACTGCACATCTAGTTCAACATACCATAATCAAGTCAGCAGAAAGCAAAGCCCCTTACGCAAACAATTCGGTTCGCAACTAAACGAAGAGCAGCACTGACCGAAAACCTCTAGTTACAAAACACGTCTACTTTACTAAACATATTTTTCTATGTAAAAATATCATCATGAGTCGACTGCAATAGTACTAGACATGTTTCCGTCTTCCAAAGGCTTTCTCGGCTTTACAATATCTGTGTCGACGTACTTTTCCGTGCGCAAAAACGTATCGACATACCGAATGTCTGTTAAATCAAGAAGCACGTGCTCTGCTTTCTTAGTGACATCAGCACACGACAAATCTCCACTAGGAATTGCACCAGAGTCGGAGTATAGCTTTTGCTTCACGTGAGGCTTTTTGGCATGACTCTCTGTAGTCAGCATGGTGAGGCCCTGTCCCTCTTTCCACCTCTCGAGCAGCATCGCGCCCGCCGCGTCTTTACCGAACTCGAGCGCAAGCGGGAGCGCGTCTGCGATGCCCAAGTCCTCCAGGGCATTTCCAACTGCCTCAGGCAAACCCGTCGTCAGAGCTGACTCCAGTGTCGACGCAACGTTTACTCCACCCAACTGAGTCCCCAGGTCGTTCAGAGGACCAAGGCCGTTTACAGCGTAGGCTAACGGCTTGGCCAGCTGCGCGACTCCCGACACGCCATTTGCTACTAGGTCTGCGCCCCCAGCGGCTACGCCCCCGATGCTTGCAGCGGTATCGACCACCGAAGACACTGTGTTCGCGACATCGCAAGACTTTTGGGAGGACAGCGTCCTCTGGGAAACGTCCTCAGCGGCGCCTTGCTCGGCGTGCGCATCGATGAGTTTCTGAAACACGTCTCGCTGTGCCAAGTGTTTCAAGAAGACGTGTGCGGCGGGAGTGGGGATGAAGAGTCTGCTGTCCGTCGGGGAGCGCGCAGACGATCGGTCGCTTGCAACACCGAAAAAACGAGCTTTTTTGTAAACCTTTGCAATTTCGGGAAAAAGCAAAGATCTTGGTCGGCCTGCTTCGTCCTTCCCCGGAGATCCAAGCATCTCAGCTGCCAGCCTGTCCAAACCCCCAGCGCGACGTCGTAAATAAGGGCTAATCGCATCGACAGTGTTTGCGGCAATATTTGCGTCGTCGGCTTTTCGAACTTGTGCACGAGGCGTGGTCGCGGGGCCCGCCTTGCCTCCGGCTATTTCTCCTGCGGTAGTTGTTGTTCTCGTGGCCGCTTCCGTTTCTGCTTCACTGGCTCCACTACTTAGCCTCCTTTTTTGTGTTCGTTGTTGTTCCATCGCTCTAATCTTGCGCTCCAACTGCTCCGCGTACGCCACATTCCACTTATTCGGATCTCGATATGGAAAATGTTTACTCCAAGTTTCGTCGAACTTTGCACACTCCGCTTCCAACAGGAGAACGTGTTCCTGCATTCTGCTTTGGAGAAGTTCAACGGTGAAGTCCGCGGCTGTCAGGCTCACGTCATCATCATGCTCACGACGTGCTACTGTTGTCCCATGAACGAACGAGGGAGACTCTGCGCGCCACTCCTCAACCCCGTTCCCCGCGGACCGTCGACCAATTTCATCTTTTATAAGAGCGTCGAAGATCGCGCGTCTAAGATAGTAGGACTCGACATCGCGGGCCTTCACCTCTTGCAATTTAGCAGCCGCAGACTGTTTTTGTTTCTCTTGGGACGCGGAGGAAGCGAACTCTGTGTCCGAGTCCGGCTCCATATCGGTTACATACGACGCCAGGCTCGAGGCCAATTCACCCCTTGGAGTGTCTTCCCCTCTTGGGGTGCTCCTCACGCTTCCTGATCCTGGTGATGCATCTTTCGCTTCCTCTACCTGCACTTGGAGGACCTCCTGAAGCAATCGCTTCATGATCCGCAGTGTGCTTTGGCACTGCTTATATTCGGGCGTTTTCAGGTCTTCTAGTTGGTTCGCGGTTGGTTGCAGCTCTCCCGGAGGTGGATGATCTTTCGCAAACCACCTTTGACGAAGTGCCTGGTGCGTCGTGTATACACTGGAATCCAAATACTCCTGAACTTGCTGCAACTCGGTGCGGAGGTTTTGGAGGGCTCTCTTCTTCTCGAGCTCATCTTGTTTCGCACGGTTTTCTTGATAACGCAGAACGCGCGCATAAAAATCGTATATTCGGAAAATCACTGAACGGGAAGATGTATCGTGGGATGGCACGTGATCCGTCAAGGTGGGATCAGACTCTAGTACTTCAAAAGAGTCAGATGGATCAGCCTCTACTAGAGATACTGGAAACAGTGCTTCAAAAACCGCCCTCGGCAATGTTTTCTGCAGAGTATCCCACGGCGTTGGTCTCACAGAAGTTTTAGCATGATCCGAGAATCCGGGAAGTCCCAGGGTTTGCAGCTCAGCATCCATGCTACGCAGGATCATCACCAGGTACCGCAAGTGCTCCGGTGCCCGTTCCTCTCCTGCGCCCACTAGAGCGAGTCCTGCAATCGTCGTCGAGAGAGGGAAGGCCGCTCCAAGCTGATCCAAGCCTCCGGCGCCACGCAAAGCGGCGTGCACGTAGAGGTCGCTCACGTGGTGCGGCGGTGTACTTCTAGGTTCACGCGAGCCTCCTCGAAGTAAGTTTGTATGGGCACCTGGCGTGGTTAATGTTGAGCTGGGGGTAGTGCCATCTTCATTATTAAAATCGTGCTTTTCACTCTGGTCTCGCTGTCGAGCGTCCTCCTGCGCGGTCTGCAGATATTTCGCTGCACCAGCTTGCGCGGAGCAATACGACGAGGACACGCGCAGGCTTTCTCGGAGTTTCGCGCGCTCTTCTTTTGACAGCGGTCTGTTCCGACGCGGTAGCATAAAAACCGTGACAGTGCCGTTGGAGTCCTCCAAGCTATGTGCCTCCTCTGCGATGCCGGGATGCCCCCCATTTGCCGCCTCCTCTGCTATGCCGGGATACCACTCGGATGTAGCTTTCAGTAGCCTCCTAATTGCCTTCTTACGTAACAAGTCGACGAGTTCGGCTTCATCTACAATCACATTCGGGCTTTCATCTGCGAGGTCTTGCATGCCCCGAGCACGATCACTCCCATAATTTTCTTCTTCTGCGTTGTCACGCAGCAGAAAGACGCTGTCCTTGTATCTAACGGTCACTTCATGGAATCTATCAGAGAAGTGAACCTCTTCTAGCACCTTGCGCTGCACGTCTGCGTTGTGCCTGCTTTCCCGGCACTGGGTGCTCCGAGCGAAAAGGTCAACCCATTCTCGCAGTGCTTCAGATGCGCGACCATATCCGCTAGCGACTTTGGTAGCAGCAAGAATAAAAAGGATGCACCAGTATGGGGAACTACTTCTTCTAATCGAATTCATCTTCGCGTAGTACTAAATACATTTGATTTTTCACCAAAATGGCCAATGGGTGACCTATCAAATAATTTACCCGCACCCGACTCACCTTACTGCTCGAACGCCATTAAATATACAACGACTCGAGACGTTAACTCTAGTTGAAAAGGCGTAAGAAGATACAGCAAGTTATATTATCTCGGAAGACTGATTGTGGACTTACTGACTGAAAGGCGGGATTGCTCATACCCTACTTGTGCAACTCATTTGCCGTTTGCTGTACTCTCTGTGAATAAGATGAAGTATGACAAGAGACACAAGGAAGATCGAAATCCTCTTTGTTAGATATAGATGTTGATGATTGGAGTATATGAGCAACTCCTTGATTGGTCAGCTGTAATCGATGATTGAACTATAATTATTTCGATGAACTATACATGGAAAAAGCAACAATAAATACGGAAAATCAATGGAAGAAGACAATAATAAATTTCTACAGGAACAAATCGAGGGTGAGCGTATTTGAACAACAACTTCTATCCATCCTGATCGTTCTCATGCTTAGCTAGGAGAGGTTTTGGTGACTTATATATCAGCTTACTTTTTTACCAAGAAAAAGTAACAAGTCACGAGGGTTACTCCAAATTCTACTATATGATGTTGTAAAAAAAGCTCTCCACGAAAACCAAGTGGAAAAAGCATAAAAGCAGGTCGAATACCACGACAACCAAGAAGCTGATTGGAAGCACTAATCGCCAAGCCTCAGTTAACCTGTTAATGTGAAGCAGGAAAGCAAATTCAAAAAAAAAGTGCGTATTATTCATTCATTTACCTGTTCGCGAGGTATTGTTTGGTGTGTGGGAGACACCTTAGCCTTACAGTGGGTAAGAATACAAAGTTGCTCCCTAGAAGACGTAATTGATTGATTGATTGATTGATTGATTAACTGAGTGATTGATTGATGACCCCACTCGCGGGGTGTAGCATCTCTAATTAGTGCGTAGTTAGAAGCAGGAATGGAAAAAAATACTTAATATTTCACATAGCTCATACTTCTACACATGATGTCTGCCACACGTGCAATGACGCAGGCTGGTGAGCTTCGCGGATCTTCATTTAGGGTTCTTTTCTTTATTTGCCAATGGATGATCTTTTGCGAAAATGGATCTTTTCGAGGGAATGGATCTTGCGTAGATCTTGGATGAGTGCTTGACATATCTTTGGCAAGACAACTCAGGAGACATCGTCTTACTTCATCTCTCTATTGCCCCGTATGGGCACTACTACTACTCTCTACAGCTACTTCTACTCTCTACAAAAAACGGATCGATCTTCACAAAACTGGAAAAATACTCTCTCACTTTCAGCTTCTCCCAGTTAGCAATATCATTGAAAAATCGTTGATTGATCGGTGTCACTTGCGGTAGACGCAATCACTAGACAGAGCGGTGATAAAAAAGTAAATAAGAAAACAAGTATGAAAGATCCAAAGAAAAATAGCAAGGAAAGTCTCACCGGTCACCGTCAGGTTAAGACTATGTTGAGATCATGTAAAGGCTTCGCCAATTTTCCCAGTTAGTTTTTGTACCTCAACGCTTGCTGCTGCACATTCTAATTCATAATTATCTGTCTTCCTCGCAACGATTACTTTCACGACTCGTCCGAGTAATGCAGCTAAAGTGACTCTGCTGAAGACAGACTCTGCTAATTTGTTTGATCCAGATAAACACGAACATTCCAAATTCTAAGCCAGAGAGCAACACAAAAAGTTAGACTCTGCATACTACACTGCTTCTCATGCTATTAAGTTTCTGGAACGTCGAGTCTTTTTTCAATTTTTCGAATCTCACTAAAATATGTTGAGGAAAACTAGTAGGAGTCTAAGCATCCTCTAACTTCCGTATATCGCACCGCTCAACACACGCGCATCACCTCTAAGGAGAAACAGTCCTTGCCTATTCTCAATGGATGACTGGCCTCTCGCAGTAGTTTCTTCGAGAAGTGCGTTTTTCGAAAATTTCGATTTCGAGTCCATAGCTAGCCTGCAAAATGGATATAATTGCTCGAACAAACGCGTGTTCAATACCAGACTCCAACTCCTACACACATCTATTTGCTAGAAGCCATTGACCTGACGCAGTGATTGTGAGTGTAAGTCACCGACAACGAGAGAGAACAGAGTTTACCAAGTATAAGTAACATCACGGAGGAAAACGGAGTTGTAGGGAAAAATATATCCTCTTTTTGAGGATCATGAAAAAAGTTCGCTCCGTCTAGAGCAGTTTCTCTTGCGCTCACACTCTCGATGCTGACATCTGGCATAACAACATCGGTCATCTCAGAGGAAGCATGCAACTTGGGTCGTCATCGTGTACGGATAGCTTCTCGTCTTCATTCTCCATGGTGCATGAGAGATGTGGATGCTCTGGCTGACAGTGGGAAGATCTCCCGTTTCAGTATGTTGCCGGCGGAACCAAGAAAAGTGGTCCCGTCTGTTTGTCCGGATCAACATCGTCATTACGTCGCAGCTGATAGTAATTAAAAGATGCGCCCAAGATGTAATAGTAGTATAGATCTTTCTTTGCTGCATCTGCGAACGTCTGCACCTCAGCTCCAGGAGGTTGAGATTAGCTTGCGTCGCAGCTGATAGTCACTCCTTAGATTTCAGAAAAAGCAATTTCAGGTCTGCTTTTTGATGTCTCACTACGAGGACGGTTACACAAGGTCTGCGCTTGGACAACGGCTACAGAAACAAGCACCATGATACTAACTTCGCAGTCCGTACCTTCATTATACTCGACTATTTGATAACTCAAACCTAGCACGGATCTATCCTTCTCTGTTCGAGGTCGCGTAATTGTCATTCACAACGAGCCGTGAATATTCTCGGCAACTATTTTCGGAAGAACCACTCTTCATTCGACAAGTTTATGCATTTGCACCTAACACCTTTCTCGGGATGCACTAGTTATTGAAATTCAGACGAAAGAGTCGAACTCTCAGTCATTCATTCGTTCATGCGCACGGATCGGGCCCCGTCCTGTGACTGTAATCATAGACCTAAACCCTGAGGCCCTAAGCTCTTTCACTATATTTGATATCGAGAGCTAGCTGATTTGCCAGACCAGTGGCGTTGATTTCTCAGATACAGAGGTCCAGTTCTAGAACGGAAAGCTGCACATCGTCAGTGCATCTCAAAATAGTTTTTCAAGTATATCTCCACTACCATTGAATATGATATGTATGGAAATACTTAATATGGCACCTGCCAAAAAGCGCCATAGAGACGAGCCCAGCTAGGATATGCAGGTGCGCAGTAATTCTGACAGAGAGTCGCTAGGTGTAGTGTGGCTCAGATGCAACAGTAGTCAAGCTCATTTTTTCGTAACCTTCTTTCTACACGCTCGTCGAATTCCATCGTCCAAATACTTACTTACTCGGACGACCCCTATCAGAATACGTCACAGATCGTGACGATGATGATGAGAAAGATACCCAGTCAAGGACGACGGGTTTAGGTTAAATTAAATTAGTTGCATTCTCTTTTGTGCTAGGTCCTGGTAAAAACGTGGCACAGTGTCCGCGTAAGGTCGTGCTTGTGTCGTACAGCGGACTAGGGATATTATGCACTATCTAGCTGCACCGCAACATCACACATCGTCGAGATTCGATAATAAAGGAAAACTAACTTGTAACATCCTTCTTAGAAGCATAGGCTGTAGATAAGCATTTAAAAAAACTGCCGAGGACCAACCTAAGCTGCGTCGCATTTTCGTACCTGACCTTCTGAAAATGCTGGCTAAATGTAGCTGCAACACTCTAAAGTAAGTTGAAACTCTTCCACCGGTCTACTGATGAGAAAAACGAGCCACCTGGCTATCCCTATCAAATATATTCTCCCGTCTACGCGATAATCCAAAATTGCAAAAAAAAAGAGGCACGAGAGGGTGCTCGATGCTTGCTCCCGAGGTTACCTGTCCTTTTCACAAGAGAGGACGACAGGCTTTGAAATTTCTGACACTCGCATGATCTGGTCAAGAGAAGTGGTATGCACTACTAATAATATGCCTCACAGTATAATATACAGGCGGACTACTCCAGAACAGCCACAATAACAACTAACAAATGATGATAGTGCAGTCCTTTCGACTAAGGACAACTATCTGCTTTAGAAAATACGTCTTCATCAAGGCAAAGCATAAATATGTGTAGACAAACATCGACTCAGACAATAAATATGCAGTAATCGACAAGTAGATACATAAACCTCAGGAAGGTACGGAGTTAATAAGCATGTAGTGGACATAGAGAAATATTATTGTTGCACGGGATAAGTCCACTATTGTGAAAAGAACTCGCTCCTTATTATAGCGTTCTTATGACGATATCTGACGAACAATATTCTACATCAGAGATTCTTCCCTTCCTTTTTCATTCTGATACGCTGTGTATGAGCAACGGAAGCGCCGAACCCGTCGCTCTCCCTAAAGGATGCGTCGCTTCCCACGTTTGTCCCCAGTTCTGGAGGCCTCCATGCTCATGTTAGCACGCGGAACGTCGCTTGCCGCACTGTTGGTGCCGCCAGCCCCGTTTATACTAGTCGCAATTCCATTTGCCTCAGCTTCTGCAGAAGGTCCCGTGGAAATAGCGCCGCTCATCTTCTCAGGGCTCTGAACTGCAACTGTAGTGTCCACCCTGCCATACTAGTTAGAAACCCGAGGCAGACACTGCACTCCACAATTCATCCCGCCTTGATTTTTCAGGATGAGAGGATAGAGAAAGAGCGCGGAGTAATGCTACATTGGAAGTGCAGTGTTGGACTTGGGACCCTTAACATGCTGCTCCTCATCGTTGGCGCCAGTTCCGGCAACCAGCATGCGACGCCGGCAGCGCACCAGGAAACGAAGTAGGCGACCTTCGTACTGCTCCACGACGGAAAATGGAATCTTCAGGGCTTCTACGACGAGAACCTCAATGATTCCAGCGACCGCGGCAAGTAGCAAAATGCCAGCGGCTGCTTTCACCTGCGTGACCGGGCTCACCGCTAATTGATCTACACCACCGTGGTCGCTGAGAAGCAACGAAACCTGTTCTAAGAGATGCTGGTGGTCTTCTTGTAGTAGTTCGCTGTCGGTCATGGTCTTGATCTCATCATCAGGAACATTCTGCTCAAGATCTGCGACCAACGGCGTTACCGCTTGTGCGAGGTATAACGCCACGCCGCCGGTGAAAGTTTCCACTTTTTCACTTATTAGAGATGAAAGGGCGCTCTCCTAATCCCGTGTTGCTTGAGCAGTAATTTTCATTGCTAAGGAGTCGAGTAGGAACGAGCAAGCCGCTCTATTGAGCCACACCCAGTGACTGCGTCAACGCTAAATTTTTTTTACAGCTCTACTTGTACTTGTATGTGCAGTTCATAACTCTAGTTGGACAGGCAGTAGCCCGCCGGGCATGAAGGTGGCAAGTGTCACCAAGAAGGGCTTGAGAACTTTCATGAAGAAGAGCTCGATTCCCGCATCCGATCCGAAAGACTGCAAGGATCCGTCAGCATTGGTTGTCTCCAGAATGCGTGAAAATGCGCTCCCAGAAAGAGCATCAGGTAGTGCCGCGTTTACATCACGAGCAGTGTCTTCAGCAAGTAGTGCTTCATTTGCGAGCTGCAGCTGTTGTCGTGCAACTTCGTCAAGTAGACCTCGATATTTTTCATGCAGCTGCTCGTATTCATGTACTTGCGCCTCCTCTCCGCTGAAGGAAGCTGCAACCACGTCTAGTTCTGGGGGAGAAGAGGATGACAGAGATTTCGCTACGTCGGTGATTTCCTGCGCATCCCGCTGTGCGATTTCTGACGCCGGAAGGCGTTGCATCGTGGACGGTGACGCCGCGTTTGCCGGTGCTCTAGTGATCGGGTCGAACATCTTCAGTTGCTGGTGGACCGCTGCGCTCGCGACGTCTGCTTTACTCTCGCTTCCCGTCTTTGTCAGAGTGTCTCTTGCAAAGGAAGAACTACTAGGGTCCATGTCGTCAGCCGTTTGCTCTTGTTGAGCATGGCCACGAAGATCCTCGTCTTCAACAATTTTGCCGTCTTTGCTCGACGTCATCTTGTTCGCATTATTAACGTCTTTGCCATTTGCAACGTTGTCTTTGCTCTTCGTCGACTCCACTAAGCCTTTGTTTCCACGAGATGATGGCGTCCCCGCCCCTGTGGCCGATGCTTGCGAAAGTTTTGTTGGTCTAGAAGAAAAAGGGGCGGTCGCGCTGTTTTTCTCAAAATCAATGTCCTCCAAATTTTCGTCCATGTCTTGAATCACAGCGTCCTGCTCGGCGTTGTCCGCAGCTCTCGCACCCATGCTCTGAGAACTCGCCGCGCGCGTCCCCGCGGCAGCACTCGACGCAAGGCCATCAATGTCTCCGAGAAGTCGCACCAAACATGCATTGACAATGTTCGTTGAGCCATACGCTGCGAGGAGCGAGATCATCTGAAAGTGTGGGTGATGCGCTTTAGTAAATGGAAGTTGGGGGATGCGCAATGAGTGACATGAAAACAGATACTTCTAGTAGGTAGGTTGGACAGAAACGAAAATTGGGTTTGATCAAGATCATGATGAATCATTAAGAACGCCTTTTGCTACTACGATGTTGCGATACAGAATGACGGATTGGATGCTCCTGCCGCTGGTTAGCTCATACCTATGAAGATCATCAATCTAGGCTGATACCTCCCGCACAAGACGACTCGCTAACAACCGGGATTTTGCTTTCACGATAACAGACATGTCGCTGGAAATAGAGCAGCGCTTGACATCTTTTTCTCGCATCAGATGTTGTGCTCGACGACGTGCAGGCTTGTGACGTATGAATTGTGTGATCGTTCTGGGTCTGTTCTTCCTCGTGGTGTCACTCAAATATAATGCCATCATATTGTGGCTTTTATTCAGATTCTTCTTCATCCCTTGTTTACCTGCTGCAACTGTGCCTGTCGTAGCCCCCGCTGAGGCTTGCCTGGATTTTTTCATCTTTGACTCTCTCAGCCTTGTATTCTGCTTCGTCCCACTAGGCCCCCCGATCCGCGTCGATGGCGGTGGTATGAAGAGCCGCCCTTGACAGCCTGCTGCCAGCCCCACAGCGGCCGCAGTCGCTAGGGAGATTTTCGGTTTCGGACTGTTCTTGTTTTGATTCACAGAGGACGAGGACTTTGATCTGTCCGCTCTGCTTGACGCGTTCCGGTGACATGCAAGTCGTAGTTCTTCGGCGTCGCGTAGCAGTGGTACCTTCTCTGGCGTACATGCGATAACTGAAGACTTAGACGGCTTCCGGGACGCACTGGAGCCAGGAGAACAGTACTGCTCATCATCATTAACGTGGGATTGCGCAGTGAACCTTGGCACGCCTCCGCTCTCGACGTCATCGTCGCGCGTTTCCATAATAGGCTCTCCATCAAAATCATCATCATGGTGCTGATTTTTCTTCTGATCATGCAGCAGCCGCGGCGCCAGGAGACTCCCTCCAAGAACCGCACTGTCGGAGTACACTTCTACCTCAGTTTTATCGTCGGAGCTTCCATCTTCCGGAACCCCTCCAAAAGTGCGGAGCATGTCCGGACAACTTGATACGCCGGAGAGGTGCGTAGAGGAGCTCGCAGGCACCCGCTTGAACAGGAGCAGTGGCGGAAGGATGTTGGAGGAAGAACCAAGAGTACTGGTCGCTGGCGCAGACGTCAAGGACAAAGACTGCATCCCCTGCTCGACCGTATGCATCTTATCTTGAAGGCTGTTAAGGTGATCCCCATACGACGCCCATCGCTTAACCAGACCAGACCCCCACGCTTTTGCGCGAACTCTCGGTTGAAGCTCCAAGTGTCCGTAACTAGTTGCGCGTGAAAAAGGTGCAGGATGTAAAGAAGAGAAGTCCGTGTCCGCCGCAGTTGAATTCGTGCCAACACTGCAAACACTTTCGATGTCGTCGGACATTGAGCCCGCACAGCGTTGCACCAGATGACATCTATCATCTTCCCCTTCGCTCTCCATAGCATCCTGGAGGACCTGCAGGTCGTGCTGCGCTGGTGTCGAGACAGCGTTCGCTACACTGGCCGAAACCGTGGTCACTGTCAGCATGCCCACGACCACGATCGCCCGCAAGGCTGTTGTGTGCCGAGACGTGGCCCATCGACAGCGAAAAAGAGATGACACGTCCCCATCCAGCGCCATATTGAATCTTATCGGATCTCAGCTTCCTTCTTGATGAAAAAACACGACAATATAGGAAAAACATCCATCAAATCGAAACGATCAGGTCATCAATCAAAAAAAACTAGTCACAGATGCTGCACGGAAGAAAACAAAAATAGTTAATCACAGATTAGCCAAATATGAACCCACGAGTCAAAAAACAATACGAAAAATCGGTCTAGGACTTACTAGACTCCACCTGACGCTACGCAAAAATTCGTGGTTGTTCATCGATGTGGTGAGTGATATTATGAATTATACCACGTGAAGACTATGCAGTTGTGGACTGTACTCGAATTTCCGTGTCATTGTCTGATAGCACTTGCGTGATGCCACACGCGGGCCGACGAGGATGAACATACCACCCAGCACCCAAAGAGGAGTTTAGTGCATGATGCGGAAATGAAACTGTTTGTCACACTCTGTGCCACGAAAATCGTAGACAGGTGGCAGAAACCCACGAGGCCACGAAGTCGATAAATGTGGTCGCAAGGAGTGCAGCGACCTTCATCTTCATTTTGATCACATTCGCAAGATATTTTTCATTCTGAAAGAAAAACAAGGACAAGAAAACGCAGACAGCCCTTTTCGCTTCGCAAATTGAGTTGGCTTCGTTTCTAAGAATGGAGACCCAGCCTCACATCATTGAAGCAACTTGTACTAAAGGAACGAAAGAGTACTGGATTTACCGTAGGCACTAAGCCTCTCACTTCATGTAATTAGGACGCAGCCGAAGGCTGTAAGACAGCACTGCTCAATGCTTACAGCTCATTAGAGGTTTAGTCTAGGCGGGCCGATCATGGAAAATAGTGGACGCTAGTGCTTGATCCACTTCCGTCCCTAAACCAGAACACGCCGACCTCGCTAGAGGCGGCTCACCAATTTGCATAAGGCTATCTACAGGAATTTATGCACAGTGACGCCATTTCCTCACTTACCTAGATCGCGGTGGCCGATTTTTCTGTTACATATATATTGCATGAAGGGATAGTATTCTGTTACAAAAATAGTAACCGGTTAGTATTCTGTTACAAAAATAGTCTTTCTTTCGTATATCCTCGTCCGGGAAAGTTGTATAGGATTTGGACAGGCCTTCCAATCTCAACGAGAGGCGCAAAATTCTAGTGTTAGCAAATAATACCAAGCGCAAAACGCGACAAGTCGCCGAGGGAGCCCGCGCCAAGCGGACCGCCGGCCAGGCTTGGAGCAGAAGGCCCCAAGCAAGCCACTCGAAACCGAAACCCGCACGAAGTTCGAAAATGCTCATGGACTCTATTTGAGCAAATCGAAACCGCTAAGGGACTTACCAGAGTGGCGGAGGGCTTTTTGGATCTATCTCCGACTTTTAGGCGCCCACCATCGGCGGGTTTTGGGGATGGTTGTCCGGGAAAAGGCTCAGCCCGCTGCCTGGCTTTTGTCTCCAATGTTTGCGGAGACGCGGAAGGCGAAACCGATCAGGAGACAAGAACGCCGGAAGAGCTACAGACAAAACCAGCGCCCTGCGGGGACCCGAGGGACCCCCAGAAACGACACGAAGAACAAGGAAGCGGGGCAGACACCCTCCGGGGCGCGTGCGGAACACTGCCCGCAACGACGCACCACGCGGGGCGCGCGCTTTCGAAGTCCTGGGATTCGCGTCAGCGTTTTGCCCGGTGGGGTCTTAGTGGTAGGGGGCCGCAGAAGCGTCGCAAACATGCGCGGCCCCAAGGCTTGGGGGCTTTGAGCCGGGGTTTGGTGTGTCAAATCTCGGAGATAGGGGGCTGCAGATGCGTTTCGGGCGTGCGCGGTCCCAAGGGAGGCTTGGGGACTCGGGCGGGGGCTTCGGGCGGTCAGGTCGTGAAAAAAGGGGGCTGCAGATGTGTCTCGAGCGTGCGCGGCTCTGGAGTTTGGGGGACTCGGCCGAGGTCTTCGTGTGTCCAGTTCGGACCTCTTACTTTGCGGGGCGGCGGCTCGCTTTGGTTTTGAGGTTTGGGCCTCTTTCGAGGGCTGTCGGCGCGTACGGCCTTAGGGTGTGGGGGCTTTCGTCGATGGGATTCAGCCCGTGCAGCCCTAGGGCTTGGGGCTTTTTTCCAGGCGCTTCGATGCGGCCCGTGCGGTCCTAGGGCTGGAGGCTTTTTCGACTGGTTTAGGCCCACGCGGTTTCAAGGCTTGAGGGTTTTCCGGGGGGCTGAGGCTCAGGCGGTCTTAGGTCGGAGGCCTTTGCGACCACTCGAAACCGATAAGCGCACGGAGCTCGAAACCGTTACCAGTACCATCTCAGTAAGAAGCCGGCCTCCCTAGTCTTAAGAGAAAGGCGTCTCTACTAGGCAGCAAAGAAGCAGCCAAATCCGTGTCCCCGCGCCCCTCCAGAATCCCGCACGCAACCACGAGCAACGGCGGAACGCGTCGGCGGATTCTGGAGGGGAACGGGGACGCGGTGGCCGCTATTAGCAGGGCACAGGCTTACGCGGTAGCGCGGTTGCCCGCATCGACACCACACTGAAACACAGGCGGGCGCACTGCTGTGGCGGCATGTGGTGCCTCTGGCCGGCGTTGGAGTATTATGGAGCGGCCCGGCGCAGGCTCGATAAGTTCTTCTTGGAATCGCTCACGGGGCTGGATAGGTCCCTCGACTGTGTACCGCATTTCCGCAGGAAGTGGCTTTTTCCAAGAAAAAGGAGAATCGTCTGTCTCTCCTTTTTCCGCCGAGAAGTGCGCCCCGGGTGGGAATGCGGTAGACAGTCGAGGGACGGACCTACTCAATTTAGGGGACCCTTCCAAGGAGGGGACACCAGGAGGCCCGAGTGGGTTACTTTTCACGACGAAGAACCTCTCCAAGAAACTGCCGCCTACTCTTAGATGCGCCGCTTTTACTAGTCACGGCGATAAGACTGGGGAGGCGGGCCCCCTATTGGGTTGGCACTGGCGGGGGCCGCTAAGCTTCGGAGAAAACTTCGAGAAATCTGCACGGCTTGGGGCCCCTTATCTTCCTCAGCTAAGTGCCTCGAGGTGTCCTCGAGGGTAGAACTTCACCAGGGAACGCGCAACACAATAGAGAGGCCCACTCAATTTTGGGAACTGCTTCGAGAGGGACTCGGCGTGCGCGCGACGCGCTCGCCCGCCAATGTTCGAACGCCAGCGAAGGGGGACCGCCTTCGGGTCGCGATCGCCCTCCATAGCGACCTACGGGGAAACTCGTGGGAGCTGGTTTTTTTTTTCGGAATCTGATCGCGCCAAGACGCAGGCCCGCGCCAGATTCCGCGGCCCCCCGTCTCCAGCGCGATGACCACAAAACCCGGGAGGAAAACCCCACCAAATGCGCGCCCCCTGCTTACCGCGACCGAAGGGCCCCAGCTTTTGAAGGGTTTGCAAGCTGGACGCGTGAAAGGCCGCGGCCCTTGGAGCAAGAGAGACCACGCCCGCGCACCCACTGTCCCGATGGTCCTGCAGCTTGGCAGTAGGGCCGCGATAACACCGCGAGGCGCATGGCTGCGGCGAACAAGGGGAAAACAAGGCGACGGAAAACCAGCCCCCAAAAAGGCGAAGAAAGCGGGAGGGCCTTGCTGGTTTTGGTGCAGCTTTTCGCGGCTTTCTCTGACTTGTCTGTCTGCTCCTAGGGCGGCCGGACGCGGTGGCCGCTATTAGCAAGGCACAAGCCTACGCGGCAGCGCGGTCGCTACCGATAAGACTAGGGAGGCGGGCTCCCTATTGGATTGGTACTGGCGGGGGCCGCTAAGCTTCGGAGGAAACTTTGGAAAAATCTGCACGGCTCGGGGCCCCTTATCTGCCTCGGCTAAGTGCTTCAAGGTGTACACCCCGAGGCGCGTAAGGTAGCTGCGGCCCATAAGGCGGCAGCGAAGCGATGCGAAACCGCCCGCCAAAAACGCCGCAAAAGCTTCAGGACTTTGCTGGTTTTTGTGGGGTTTTTCGCGACTCTTCCTTGTCACTCAGCTCTTCGGCCGACTGCACTTGGCCCAAGAGGCCCCCGCGCCCCTCCACGGTCTCACAAGTTTGACACACATGAGCAGCAAACCAACGCGCCCGGGGATTCTGGAGGGGCGCGGGGACCCGGCGACGACCAAGGGCACAGGCAGAGGGGCGCGCGTGGCTGCGTAGCCAGGCTGGGGGGCCGCGGTGTGGCTCTTGCGGTAATCGGCGCCCTTTTGCTGGCGTGGAGGCATTTACTTGGGGGCGAGCGAGTGCAGGCTTGTTCAGTTCTTCTTGAAATCGTTGCCGGAATTGGATAAGCCCCGCGGCTATGTGCCGCATTTCGCGGCGAAGTGATGTCTTTGAGAAAAGAAGAGGCCGCGACGTTAGTCATTTTTCCAAAGCACATAACTCCACCGGGAAACGCGGCATCTCGCGCGCCATCGAAGTCGCCCCCGAGAAACTGCTAAGCGAGACCAATAAGGGACAGCGCTGCCCCGGCTCCCTTTTGGATTTTTTTGCCCCGTCTGGTCTCCATTTGCTTCCGCCCATCCTGCCAAAGGCGCGGCCGCGGTTTGCTCTCGCGCCGCCCGCTTTGTCACCGGTTTCGCGCGCTGCCTTCTCTTCTTTTCTGTGCTTTTCTGGCATCTTGTCACCGGTTTCGCTACGGCTGGGCAGCGTTCCCGGGACACAGAGCGGGCATCTCTCGCATTTGTCCTGTGGATGGCTGACCACATTGCGAAGGCCTTGGGCAGGGGTGGCGCCGGCGCTGGATGCTCTGGCAGCTTTGCACTGGGAAGGGCTTCGGCAGGTTCTTAGTCGGCGGCTAGTGGTACCACTTGCAGCCGCTTTATTATTTCGCGCCCACTAGCCCCGCGAAACTCTTACGCGAAACCGCTAAGGGACGGCGCTGCTCCGGTTCCTTTGTGGGTTTCTCTGCCCCCTTTTTTCCCCATTTGCCTCCCCCCGCGAAACTCTTAGGCGAAACCGTTAAGGGACTGCGTTGCCTCGGTTCCCTTGTCGATTTCTCTGCCCCCTTTTTCCCCCGTTTGCCCCCCCCGGTCTTGCTCAAGGCGTGGCCGCGTTTTGCTCTTGGGCCGTCCGCTTTGTGATCGGTTTCGCGCGCTGCCTTCTCTTCTTTTCTGTGCTTTTCTGGCATCTGCTTATCGGTTTCGCTGCGGCCACTGGCCGCCGATTAAGAACTTGCCGAAGCCCTTTCCAGTGCGAGGCCGCCAAAGCATCCACCACCCAAGCCACCCCTGCCCAAGGCCTTCGCGATGTAGTGAGCCACACGCAGGACCGAGGCGGCAAGAGATGCCCGCTCGGTGTCCCGGGACCGCTACCCAGCCGGAGCGAAACCGATAAGCAGATGCCAGAAAAGCACAGAAAAGAAGAGAAGGCAGCACGCGGCACCCAATAACAGAGCGGACGGCCCAAGAGCAAAACGCGGCCACGCCTTGAGCAAGACTGGGGGAGGCAAACGGGGGAAAAAGGGGGCAGAGAAATCGACGAGGGAACCGAAGCAGCGCTGTCCCTTAGCGGTTTCGCCTAAGAGTTTCGCGGGGGTGCGGTTTTTTCTTAGCTTAACCGATGGCGCAGCCTTCAGGACTTGACAGCAGGGAACACCCTGGACAAATCTGCTGAGAGAGACCCACCCAAGGAACAAGCGGAAGCCAGCTCGCCCAAACTCGTCAAATTTGACAAATTTCATACATGCCCGTCTATTATTTTGGAGAAGCCTGAAACAGGTGGAAAGTCTCTGCCACAAACTTCGAGACTTCTCCAAGGCCCTGGCCCGCTTTGGTAGGTCTCCGGCGCGGGTCCTCTTCGGTGTGGGCGCTCTTACTTCGCTGCGGAGGCCATTCCCCGGCGCAGCGGTCGCCTTTGGTGTCCATGCATTCGTCGGCATGCCTTGCCGCGTGTCGCGGGTGGCGTAGTGACAGGCTACCGGGCTGCGCGCGTGGCCTTTCGGTGGCAATTCAT